ATTGCTGTGATATTCATAAAGTTAATCATACCACACTCTTTCATCAAGCAATCTGATATCTTCTAGACCCTGCAAATATTTATTTTCATGCTAAACTGGATTCAGTATGAATTAATTTAAAAATGTCAAAGGCTCTACTAGTTTTATAGATATGAAATGAAAACTACTGAAAATATACTATTTTATTCTATGAAATACTGAATAAGTGAAACGTAAAGACCACAAGCACTGCTGATATGACCTGGGGCTACATCTTTTCACACCAGTTAAAGATTTTTCCCTTTAGGAACTTTCTATTTCTTTAATAAACTTAGTTCATGAATGCAGAATACAACCACCAAATTGAAATTTAAGTGAGTATTTGAACTGCTGTGGAGAGAGTGGTGTGAATTTACCTCTCAGTAATCCAGGCTTCTGTAGAGCTTCTCATCCTCTAAACAATCTTAGTGTCTCAGGCACTTGAGAGCTTTTTAGATACATTGTTAGTCACTCTTGCAGGGTAAAGTCTTTCCTTCTTAACTGCTTTAAAATATTAAGTATTCTAATTCTATATTTTTGTACATGGAATAAGTGATATATTTTCTCTTAATGAAAGGATAAAATACATAGAGCTATATGTACTGCATGTACTTTTTCAATATACATGAGTAAAAGAAATTACTTGTGAGTGCCTCGTGCAGAATTTCTGTTGACTTCCTTGATGGTTTTTAATACCAAGGGCCATTACAGCCTCTGCAATACAGTTGCAATATCCCCCTCCCATAATTTAAATATAAATCTTGTCACTTTAAAGTTTCCATCAACAGCAGTGAATAAATATAACCAAAATATTCCAGTCACTGTTTGAGTGTCTTTGCCAGATCACCCTGGAGAGACTCCAATGCTTGTCAAGCTGCTAACCCAGAGTCTGTGACTGCTCACACCAACAAAGTGCAAAGTGGCAATCACTGCTGCTCCTCTTGTAACCATGGTACTGCAAGAGGTGGCTCTACAGATGTTTTTTCTGGCCTCGTTTTTCACAGGCTTGTGAAAGAAGTCCTCAGCTCACAAGCAAGGTGCAGGAGCCTTCCCGCTGCTCAACCAGCTCTTTGTGCCCTCGGAAAAGCACCGTGAAGGTGACATGGGCAGCAGAGCCTGCAAAAGCTCCATTTGTGGCTGTAGATACATCTACAGGCTTTGAATATTTTACCTATGTCCTTTTAAGCCACAAAATGTAAATAATAAAATAGTACAAATTCTGTCTTGTCTGGACATGGATACAGAACAACCCTTTCTATCTCTTTCCCTCCTCTTTCACCCCTCACAACCCCCCAATACATCTTAAAGCTCTGCCAAGATATCTGTGTTACTGAAACTTAGATAAACTGCCTGAAAGATATTGTTCCCTGTGGACTTTGGACCAGTTAACAGGACAAATGATCTGCAATAACCTGCTCAGAAGTCTTGATTTTGGGAAGGGCGGATGACAGTGATGAGAGAAAGAAAGAAAATGAAGAAGGTAATTTTAGTATCTGGGTTTTTTTCTTTAAGGGCTTGTTTGTCTGTGCAGGTAGAGTGTATTTAGAATAGCTGGAACTGACCTTTTGTTCAGGCTCTTCTTTATACTTGGATAAACTGGCAAATAGACAAAACGTGCAGTTCTGTCCTGTACAAATACACAGATACAATTTCTACAATCACACAGATGTACCTGTGCTTGTATTTATATAATTCCCATTTGTCATTAAAAAACAAACCTGCAAAAGCTTTCAAACATGACCTCAGTAGCTAAATACACAGTAAGACTCAGATGCTACCTTTGTGCTGTTCTTATACTTAGCCTTTAACTATCCCGTATTATTTTAATCCTGTTTACAACATTTTATTCATAGCACAATTACTTATAAGTATGTAAGTATTAAGAGTATTTTCCCTTTGTGTATCTTCATACCTAAATGATTCTCTGGCAATGTTCTACTTTAAGAGAATTCTGTGTTTTTCTTCTTTTTTACACCTACCCAATTTTTGGTCCCTGTAGTTTTGGCACCTTTTGTTCTTACATCTCTAAAAATTTCTATCAATAATTCAATTTCTAACTTATTAATACCCCACTCCTAATATTTAATTCTAAACAGTATTAACAAAATAAATTCTATACTCACTCTCTTGCCTCTTCCATACTAAACTACTGACCACTAAGGTCTTCTCTAGCAGGGCTGTTTCCTTTTAATCTTGAACGGCCCAGTGAAATTGAGATGGAGGCTGACCTAAATATCCAGTGGTTAGTTCATGTCTTTGAATCAACCAGAGCAAAAATGTGAACCTTTAAAATCTGGCTACACATGTTTTCTGGCTACTGGGCTAATTAGGCATTCTGGGTTCTTTTCTGGCCCCTTCCAGATCTTTTTTTCTGGCCCTTACTAGTGGATTTTTGATTAGAACACGTATATTTCTCATGAAAAACCTTAGTCAGACAACACAGCATTTTCAAACAGAAAAGTGTTTCCTTGAAAAACTCCTGCTCAGCTGTGGTTACCATGGATAAGGATGTAAATCTTTCATATGCATAAAATCATATAGATTATCCAGCTCTTCTTTCACTCTGCCTAGCATGTTTTTCACATCTAAATGGGTATCATAAAAAGATTCAGCTCCAGCAATTAAGGACATGCTAAACTTCAATATGTTATTTGCTGTGCTGAAATTTGCAGATCTATAATTTCCAATGTCATTCTTTCATACAGCATCACATTCACCTCCAGACACATTACCAAGAGGGAGCTGATATTTTACCCTCTCAGCCACCACTCAATATCTTTGCTAGTTTAGAATCCCTTACCAAAAAGATTTTAATATGCCTTTCCAGAAATCACTTGCTGATACCCTCTTCTATCCCTTTTTCAAAACTATCAAGTCCTACAGTTCTGTTTGAGCCCCACAACATCCCTGATTTCAGGAATTGAGTAATTTTTCTAGTCTTTCTAGTAATTTTCACAATGAGTTGCACACTTTAGGATTTCTTTTTCCACAGTTCAGAAACTTATTGAAAACATGATAAGGAAAACCTCAATCAAAACAACCTCACAAGGTTGGTAGACCTAAACATGGATGCTTAATTTATTATACAAACTATTAAAAACCTTGGCACTGAGAAATGTCTTGAAAACGACTGTGAACCAGCAAATAGCTTCCATGTGACATGTTATTTACACTGTGATACTGTTATTAATCTAATTTGCACACAGACTCAAGTCTTGCAGTTTTTACACACCATTAACAAAATTCATTATACCTAATACCACTGACTTCAATCTGCCTGCTCCTGAGGCTTTAAGACAGATTTGTGTATCTTTCTAAGGTGCAGCCTCCTATAAAACTGTAAAATACAGCCAGGTGGGAAATGCTTTACACTCTCCAATCCTGAGACTTGCTACTTGAGTTATTTCCATATGCTTAATTCACCTACCAGTTGACTCTTTACTCTTTCCTTGACACTTGACTCACACTGTCTCTGCTAAATTTGTATACTCAAGGATTTCTTCCTGTCTTTGATGAATGCCCTTTCTGTCTTGATTTTTCACATTGCTTCATATGCTTTTGTACAAATGTCATTATTTTACTAATCCTCTGCATGGAGTGGGTACAAGAATTTTAATTTCCTTTTAAAATCTGCATAGTATTTGATCATAAATTCACAGGAGCTATGCAAATCATTCCTTGCAGAGCTGCAAGGACTTCCAGTAATATCCCTGCTATTTTGTATTTTGACGTACAACTTGTTCTCTTGCTGTGTCTGCCATTTGCTCCTTTCTTACCTTCAGTTGTTTTGCAGTTCTTTGCTAATTCCAATGACCTTTTTCCATGTTCCTACTCCTAGCTTTTAAAGCCAGATGGTTTGCATAACCCATGAGAATATACTAATTTATGTTTCAGCAGTTTCATTTCTCATCTTGTCCTTTCCATAGAATGCTTTTCCCTTCTTTTCTGTTTCTCCCCTTTCAGTGCTCAGATTTCTTTCAGAGTCGTCAAAATTGATTTTCCTGAGGTAAAGAGACCTTTTGGCTTAGTGAAACCACTCCCCTGCAAGACGTAAGCAGTCATGTAACAGACCTCAAGGACAGAAATGCTTGAACAGACCACCCAGTATCAATATATTTTTTTTTAAATTTCTGTTTTCCAAATCACATGTAGCCCCTTTTCTGCATCTGATTCACCAACCTTACCCACAAAAGAGGTGACTTTGTACCAGCTCTAGAAGCCATGACTCCTTTTCCCCAGCACAGAGGCTCAGGCTTTTCCCACAGAGCAAAACTGAGAGAGAAAGAGAAGTCTGCAACTGCCTGTCAGGGCATCAGGAGCCGTAAGTGCCCCTTTTGTGCCCCCCACGAGCTCTCTGCCTCTCCCCCTGCCCCAAGCCTGGGGCAAAGCACTGACTGGGCCTCCAGGCTTGGCTGATACACTGTGGTAGGTCACAGCTGGTCCCAACATGGTAGCTGGGCTTGTGTCAACCCTGGCCTGGATCTGTTGGTGTTGTAGTCTCTGCTACCTTTGAGGTGAGCAAGGAGGAATGTTTGTGTTCTTCTAGGTTTAGTCTGTTCTGTGGGCTTTTGTTATTTACTTTTTTGGTCTATGGCAAAGCCACTTCATGTATTACAACTTTTAGTCCCTGAGTACCTTTACTTAGCTTGAGCCTGAATCTGTCATGACTGCCCCTGGTAAAAGCCAGGGCTGGAGCATGTCAGGTATAGTTAGAGCTGTTTGGCTGAAGTAATGAAGAAGGCTGGGAGAATCTGAAACTTCAGGGAGGAATAAAGCAGATGTTTGACTGACAGAGGGGGCTGGGACCAGCCATCACTCAGTGTGGCACAGGGCTGGCTGTCCCAGCCAAAAACACATCCCCTGCAAGGAGACACAGCACCTGTGCTGTTCCAACTCAGTGGCTGTGACTGCTGCGTTAATGGCTAAGTATTGTTACAATGAGTTCATGAGAAAAGGAGAACCTGTGAACCAGGAGGACGTCCATGGGTTTGTGCCTGAGTCTCCTGATCCCTCCTGGCAGCCTGGACTGGTGCTCCCACACAGGTGGAGTGAATCGGGGACAGGAGGCGGAGGATGAACATGTCATCCATGTGGACACCTCCCAGGCAAACTCACAGAGGTGTTTACCTGAGGGCTCATAAAATCCTTCAGGATGGCCAGTAAATAAACCACTGCTGAGGAGGCCACAGGGACGATCCACCCAGGTGCCACGTGTATCAGGACAAAACTTTGACAGGGTCAACTGGTTTCACAGAATCACAGAAATGTTAAGGTTGGAAGGGACCTCTGGAAGGTTGGGAGTCCAACCTTCCTGCCAAGGCAGGGTCACTTGGAGTGGGTGACACGGGAACGCTTATGGGTGGGTTTGGAATGTCTCCAGAGAGGGAGACTCCTTGACCTCCCTGGGCAGCCTGTCCCGGTGCTCTGCCACCCTCAGCGTCAAGAAGTTCTTTCTCACGCTGAGGTGAAACTTCTTGTGTTTCAGTTTATGGCCATTGCTCCTGCATGGCTCCATTGTTTCCTGCACAGGTGTGCGGAACAAGCACATTTAGCAACTCCCTTCCCATCCCCAGCCATCTTTACGGGGGATGCGAGCAAACCGACCTTCTGGCGGGCGGGATCCCCGCCTCCGCCCCCAGGGGCCAAAGGGGGGGGGGAAACCGTGTGGGGGGGGGGGCCGGGGGGAAGCCGCAATCTGTCCGTGCCCGGGGGCAGCCCCAGCGCCGTCCGTTGCGGGCGGAAGCCGCCCTCCCGCGGTGCCGGCGGGGCGGGCGGAGCGGGCCAGGAGGCTCCCCCCGCCGCGGGCCGGGCGGGCCGGGCCGGGCGGGGCCGGGCGGCGGGCGGTGCGGTTCCTGTCCCTGTGGGTGAATCTGCTGCGGGCTGCCGGAGCCGGGGGCCGCGCGGAGCACCGGCGGGCTGGCGGCATGGAGTAGGCGCTGGCGGCGGCGGCAGGGAGAGCGGGCGTTGCGATGGGCCAGGCATGATGAGCGCGCTGGCTCCGTCCTCCCGCTGCTGCTGCTGCATGCTGCCGCCGCCGCACGCCGCTGCAGGTGCTCGCCGGCCGCCCCGCGCGTCCAGCCGCCCTCCGCCGGGGCCGCCGCCGACGGCGCGGATCTGTTGAGTTGGGCGAGGGCGGGGGCCTGGGGGCTGGCGGCGAGCGCGTTTCCTCCGCTGGAGCCCGGGGGGCTTCCCCGCAAGGCGGCTCGCCAGGCCCGGGCGGCCGCGGCCCGCACCCGGGCGGTGAGGGGCCCGTCCTCCGGTCCCTCATCACTGGCTCTGGCTGACTGTCCCCGTCCTCCTGTCCCTCACCGCCGGCTCCGGATAAGGGGCCCCGTCCTCCAGTCCCTCACTACGGGCTCCCGCTGCCTGTCCCCCTCCTGCAGTCCCTCATGCGGCTCCGCTGAGTTGGCCCGTCCTGCCGTTCCCTCCCTCATCACAATCTCCGCGCTGTCCCCGTCCTCCTGCCCTCAGCACGGCTCCCGCTGGCTGCCCCGTCCCCTGCGTCGCTTCCCGACCGGCTCCGGCCCCTCGAATAACACTCCCGCTCCCCCCGCGTTCCTGCCCGGCTGGGATCTCGGGGTCCCTCAGCGGGGCCGCTCGGACCCTCCGTCCCCACACGCTGAAAACTTCCGCGGAGGCTCACGGGGCCCCCAGAGTCGAGGTGCGCCACTGCCGAGTCCCCGAAAATGCTTCCAGCTCCCACGTATGTAACCCTTCTCCCAGTTTACTGGATTCAGCCCGCTGAACTGCACTTATATTTAGGAAAGACAGAAAATCTCCGGGCTACAACCCCCCAGATGCAGCCTTTGTTGGTGTGCCCCCCAACTCGTTCTGCTGGAGATGGAAATCAGCACTGGCTCCGGGTTAAGGCTCTCTTAGATCTGTCAAAAAATCCCCAGCGCAGACCATCAAACAGCCTCTTTCTGTTGAGGTATTCTCTGCCAACCCCTTCTTCTTTTAGAATGTACCATCTGCACTGAACATCCCCACCTGCGAAATGACCCACACTAGCACGAAGGGATCCTGAAAACAAACTCTGTGTGTTTAAGATCGATGCAATTCTCCCGTGACACTCTTCTTGGCAGTCCTTTCCTTGCAGTGAGACACTCAGGACTGTATGCTCATCTGAAATGTCTATTAATATTAATATCTATTAATACGGTCCATCGTAATTCGCTTACAATATCTTCCTGAAGCTCACTTTAAGTCAAGAAGGTCATAACTTAGAGAATTTTGTATTTTTTCCCAGTTTAATACCTACACAGTATGTTGTGGAGATCATAGAATGAGAGCTAAACAAACTGTCCCTGAGAAATCTTTTTCTAAGACAGAAAAATTAAATTACTTTAGGAAACAAAGGAACCTACCACAGGGGCGTCAGTGCAGTTTTCTTCATAGACATTCTGTTTATTAAGAAGGAATTAAAATCAGCTGGCCATGTTTGTAATGAGTTTTCAGTCAAGTGGCAATAAAAATGAGTTATTATGCTATAGTGAAGGTAGTGATGCAAGGTTTTAAGCAGAAATGGTCTGGACTGGATTTATCCCTCCCTCCTCTTTCCTGGTTGCTATAGATATAGACTGTTTCTTCTAATCTGCTAAAGAGAAAGCTTGCATAAAAATATTGAAAGTAATAGCTGTAATTTTTACCTTTAATAATGCAATAGGCTGTACACTGTGCTTTCAAACTAGTCAGATTTTGCTTCTCTCTCCCTAAACATGAACTGCAAATCAGTCTGGGTCACAGGATATTTTTCAGCTTGTTGTAGCTACCAAACAATGTTTGTGTGTTTGTCACTTCCCTGTGCTTCTGCCTCGGTGAGGATGCCTGCCTGTCTGCCAGTTAAGGCTGTCCTTGCCTGGAAGGGACTGGGGGAAGAGCAGCCTTGATTTTACACAGGGAATCCAGTGGTCTGGGAAGTAACATTCAGAGGTATTTCTACCACAGCAAAACAAGCTGAGCCTTTCAGGTTCCTGCGAGGTTAGGGAGCTAAGTGATATCTCACAGATCTCTGTGGAAGATGGGAAAGGATTGATTGTGTGTGACAAGATGCAGGAAAATGTTTGCATTGCTGGAAGTGAAACAGTTTTAGCTGTCTTTTCCATTAGAGTTCCTTTATTTCTTTTATTGACCAGTGCTTCAGGTCTCATTAATCTGGAGTTCAAACTATTTATTATAATAGATACTGTTCCGTTTTAGAGTGCAATTTTTAGACACAACTGTAATTTTACAGTCCAAGTTTTAGGATTATTTGTGGTTATAGGTGAAAGATACTCATTTGGTTTCTTTTTGTCCCACCTTCTTTAATCAAAAATTGAACACAGATGCGTTATCAAACCTCTATAATGTGTGTTGGAAACTGCCTTAAAAGCCAAGTATTTACAGAAGCAGGTTTTTTTGATTTTTTTTCCCTATTATTTCAAAAATTCTTCCTAAAAGCTGTTTCAGAAGTAGAGGTTCATGACCTTCACAGTTTCATAGGATGTTTTCATCCAATTTCATTATTCTCCTCTTTTTTATGGTCAACTTTGTCTGTACTTTCCAATATAGTATCCATTTCCAAATGGTGACCTGTTTGTTTTATAACATACTTACAAACTTGTTTAAGAAATTGGAAGATTTAAAGTTACAGTTAAATAAGATATAATATTTGGATTTGTGCTGCTTCAGCCTATTTAATTCATGAGGCTTTGTAAATTGTTCCTGTGTGGGAAGGTGATTTTCTAAGGTGCTATTATCAACAAAAGCACATATTCTTCCATTTCTTGACATTTATCCCTCATCATCCATCATTCTATGATCATCTATAGTAGCATTTTAAATGTGAACAAGTGAGGGAAAGTACAGCCTTTTCGCTTTCTCTTTTCTTGCCCACGCCTAGGCCAGGAGAGAGATTCTTGTCTTTTCTACAGAAAAATAAATCAGCTGAGTATGTAGTAGTATTAATTACTCTTTAATGAAATGATGGAGCTGGGAGTTTAGTATTCTAAAGAAATCTTCATTCATTTTTGAGACGCAGTCCACTGAAGATTGTGGAGCTTCTTTTTAAGTGTTTTACAAAATAATCATGTGTGGAAAATGTATCCTGATCGTGTTTTCTAAATTCCACAGATTTGGGTTATTCTGTTCCTGTGTTGGTGATCACAACACTAAGCAGTACCTTCAGTAAAAACTGCAGCTCCAACTATTGAAGTATTTTTGTTGTGTGGCTTTTTAAGTGGACTAATTGATTCAGAAAGTTGCAGTGGTATTTTATTTTCACATAAGATAGACTGGGTGAGATAGAGAACTTGGTAACAAAGTAAACTGTGAACATCTTAATCATGTTCTTTCATTAGTACTAGAACAATGATACTTTACAGCAGAAGTTGTCCTCACAGGTAGCAGAAGACAGTAAGTGTGCTTGCTGCACTGCCCTCACATTGACCTCTAATGTGTAAAATGATGCTTATAACCTTCAGTGAATATAATTTTGCAATTTAATTTGATCTTTTGTGCTGTGTGCAATTCCATTTTTCAATCTGCATTTTCTTCTTCAATGAGTATATTGATATGCTGTGGAAATTTCTGGAAACATTTGTTCCATACACAATGCAAATTTGTTTCATGCACAGCATAAAAGTTCTTTCAAAGTTGTATTCAGATAATCACAAGCAAAAATTTTGTTTCTGAAATGCCTGTGAATTTAGTTTTTAACTAAATAACTAAAGAGACCAGTCAGTCACATTTCAGCTTATAAACATGAAATATGCTCCTAAACCTGTAACTGTGAATTCCTGACACGTAGAGTGAGCAAAGACAGTGTCTTACACTTCACCAGGGTTTCAGTGTAACTGAGGATAGAAACTTTACTCAAAGGCTTGTAAAAAATGTTGCATGCTAATAGTAGTACTGTCACAAAGTGCTGTGTGCATGTTTAACTGGTGAAAAAATATTTCAGAGATGGATTAGGAGCTTCAATTGATTAAAGTTGATCAGAATTAAGAAACTGCAAGAGTGGGGACTTCCTTTACTGTTGGTGGAAAGCATTTCTCTAGTGTTGATTCTTAAATTGGAAGAAAATGAAATAAAGAGTAGGAGAAATGGAAAAAATATTTTATTGTCTTTTCAATCAGTGTTTCAAACACAGAAGAGATTTTACCCATGAGTGTCCATGGGTGTTTCATGGGGAATAGAAAAGAAGTATTTCTTGGTCTAGTTCTAGTTGGACAGATGTTACCATAACAAAATGAACATTGCTGTTGCTCTCAGACACCTTTGTCAACTGTCCTAAAGATCCATGAGGACTGAAGTTTTACAATTCCTTGCTGAGCTGAAGCTCACCCAAGTCAATGTCAACCTTCCCATTGACTTCAGTAGCATTTGGATCAAAATTTTGGTTGAGGCTTGTAGCAGACTGGCTGGGAAAGTAGGAGAATTAAAGTGTTACCATCTGCTCAGCAGAAAAAAATTGCCTCACTTTCTAGTGAGATTAATTTGGAACTTCTCATAGGCACTCAGGTATTTCAATGCCATATTTATTTGATGCAATTATTGATGATGGAGTGTAATTTATGATACTGGTGCTAGAAATTAAAAATAACAGCAAAAAAATCAAATTAAGATAAGGCTATGTGCTCAGAACATGAGGGATTCAGTGTAGGAAACTTCATTTTCCCTTCATCAAAAATATGTTTGCATGTCCTAGAAATGTTTCTTAAGTAATCAGTTATGTTAGGGAACAACTTGAAAGTAGCTTAATGTCAAGACATGTCCATGTGTTAGTTCCATTGAATTACAGGTAAAGAACATTCATTGATATTTTTGGCATCGTGTCATGACTTTTCCATAATATCTTTTTTACAGTCTAACTTATTTTTGTTGAAAGTTTCCAGTGGAAGGAAAGAAGTAATTGTAGGGTGTTCTAAAGTTTGTTCATAGGAAGGGATTTCTAGGGGTTTTTTCTTTGTGTCTTCTTGTTTGTCTTACTGATTAAGAGAAAACAGAAAAGTTTTTGGCAAGATAAGCTTGTCTCTGCTTCCTATCTGAGCATACCCCAACATTTCTCTGTGTTTAGTGAAATCAAAGAGAATATCTCTACCTGACTGCCTTCTTTTTTTTTTGCTACCTGTGAGTAATATCAGTCCCAGGAACTTCACCACACCATGATTGTACCCATGACGTCAGTCAGCCTACTGACATAATTCCTAGTTGCTAGATCCTGGAAAATTTGGGCAGTTCTGCTAAAATAACAAAGTGTGATTAATGTTGGCAGATTAATGATAAGCAGGCAGTTGGCTGTGTCCTTACAGTGACCAGCTTACAGACATCAGTGTGACAAGACTGCCACTGGTGAGAAAAGGCAACTGCAGTCCCTGAAGGTGCTGGAGCTCATGGATAAACAGGGAACTGGGGTCTCCTGTGTCCATCAGATTTCCATTGCCTGGAAAGAGAGCATAAGGACACCAGCTCAGATTTAGGTGGTGGCCATCAGATCTCTGTATCCAAATCCATAAGCAGACCTGTGTAAGCCAAGAGGCAGTGTATATTCCAGCTTTCCAGCTTCCCAAGAATGACACATATTTTGGCCTCATCCCACTTACAGTGTAGGCTAAAACCAAGCTAAAATCTCTGCAGTTATTCATGCAAGATCAGGATAATCCAGTGTCTTGCTAAAATCTGTGTTGGTGTTTACAGGCAGATTTGGGAGGACATTCAGTAACT